GTATTTACAGAAGCATGGGACATCTTTGCCCCTGCTACGTTTCAGAGGTAGAAAGTAACAAATAGTGCTTTCATGACTGATGATGAGTTGCTTTGTTCTTCTTTCAGAGCCACAGAAGAAACTCTACTATAGGGTGGGACACGGAAATAGTAGCCCGGAGTCCTAAGAACCTGGGTATTGGAGGCGGCCTACATTTCCGTGGCCCACCCTGTGGTTTTCTCCACAAGTTGAGTAGTATTCATGATAACTAAACTGAACTGCCCCTTTAGGCAGGACTCGAACCCTGGTCTGTGGTCTTTAGTGCCCTTTGAATTCTTGTATGACCGCTCAGCTTGAGGAATGTTGCACTTACTACTGGTGATCCTGAGTCAAGCAGCAATTACATTTCTTCCAAAATGTACCAGGAGATTATTAGAATATGTAGTCTATAGTTTGTAGGTTCGAAGTATCCATCCTCAACTTCTGTTCTCAAATGTTCTTATTTGCTTGTGCTCTTCTGTTTAACTTTGCTGACGTCCTTTAACTCATTTTAATTGTATTTAAATTCCAGACTCAGCCTGGCTCCAGGAAGCCTCTCAAAATAAGAACACTGGTCCAAAGATTGAATCAATTGTCAGGTTATATAAACACTCTGCTAGCCTCACTTGAACTTAACAAACCAACAGGTTGCCAGTAAACAGATGTTTCCAAAGTGAACAAAGCCTGTAACAACACTCAACTTTAAAGACATCTGAATGAGTTATTACAGTGATCTTTAGAAAAATGTTAGCTGGGTCCTGTTCTCCCATGGCACTATAAACGGACAGCCTGACTGATTATGAATCTAAATTTGGCAGGGAACAAATGTATTGCATTTATGTTTGTTTTAAGCTGGATGCCTCATAGAGAGAGGGAGAAGAGCAAAGGGTCACAATTAAAAGAGGACTATATATAAATCATTTTTAATAATTATTTAACTGTTTAATTTTCCTCATGTATTTATGCTTCTTTCTTTTCCTCCTTTTCCACAGTGCTGTAACTAAATTTCATAAAATCAACTAATATAAACTGATATTAAACACAAATATTTAGGTTTTATATTTTCCAGCTGATTCAACTTAAAATTTCAAGGTTTTACTTCCAGACTGATTCAGAACTTACAAACATTCTGACTTTCAAGTCTTTTGACTTGAAAGGATGAGATAAATGAACTACTGAGGGTTCACTCAACTCATTAAATAAAGCTTTTAAAGTACAACAAGCAAACCAGCAGGTTTCCCAGCATGCATTCTTTGAGAGTTCAAGCTGTCCACACACTTGTTTTTTTGTAGTCTGAAGACAACATTTATGATGGAAACTGTGTCTTTAATACATGTGAAGATAAGTCATGGTTGTTTCATGTCATAATAATGAAAGCAGTGCTGACCACGATGGTTAGTGTTGAATTCAATACATTAACAAATCTCACTCAACCAAACCCAGTTTAGTTTACACAACATGTTAGACTTAATGATAGAAGATAACATTTGATTGTTAGAACAAAATCTGAAGCCCTTTCACTCATACTTAAGTTGAAACAAGTTATAATTTACAGCGTGTCTGAAAAATCCATTTAAAATAACATTGAATAACATGTAACAATTCCACATCTTCTGTGATCTCTGTACTGTCACCATAGCAGAGCATCCAGTTTCAGGGCTTAACGCTGCGTTAGGGAGTGATGCAAATAGATAAGGAGTAATGAAAAAGAGACAGGAGGGAGGGATAAAAGGATACAGTGACAGGCAAGAGAGACAAAAAGGCTGAGAAAGGACAGATGAAGCCATCATAGAGCAAATAGGAGAAAAAGGGGATGGGAAATGATGAAAGCAAAGTGAAAGTAAGCAGCAAGATGAGGGTGCTCGGCAACAAAAATGAGGGAAACACAAAGAGCGATGAAAGATGTCATTCTGTAGAGGAATCAAAGCATCAGACTCTACACAATACAGTTATGAAAGAGAAGGACAAAGATACAAAGCCTAACTTATCTAAGTCACATACATCCACTTTGTCCTTCACATCTGCTGAGGCATTTGCGGTTTTGTGCGTCATTGTTTTTGTATGATCAACAGTGTTATGAGCAAATTTAATTAGCTTTTAGCTAATGAACATTAATTTAGCTCTGCCACCCCATAATAAGTGTCTGTAGGTTACGCTGTGGTTGCTATGGTGTCTCCCAGGGTGACAGGTAAAGAATAGAGAGCGGTTTCCTTAATAAGAGGAGATTGTACTCTCGGTTTAGTCACGCGCGTGCACACACACTAATTGGAAGGCTGCAGGTCACAGGTTAGTGTGTGGGTGGATAGTGAATGTCAAGTATCTACAGTCATTCAAATAACAAAAACAAGCAAAGCAAATCAAGTGGTAAGAAAACTACTGTAACCTTTAGATGTAATAACCTGTTTGCACAAATGCCTTAAAGGGGAATTCTTTTTTTTAAGGTAGCCTAAACAGCTCGAACAACTCCCCCATTTTAGTACAGGCAAATTAAAGCACCAAAGATGGAACAATGTACCAGCACAGAAGGGGGAGAAGAAGACTGCCAGCAAATAAATATGGTTTATACAATGCAGACTTTAAAATACTCCAAAAAATCTGCTTTGTAAATGTTTTATGAAGAAAAAATGCTCTCAACACATGTCAGACCTCAGGGACAATATGTAAACATAATTGCATTTGTTACGAGAAAAAAAACACAGGGTGCCTTTGAGAGAACACAAACAAATAGCATGTTCATGCTACTCCTGGAGCTGTGTTGTTGGGGGCAGCAGCTCCTGGTTCCACATCATGGACCAGACTAAATGGTTTAAACCACTTCTGTGGATTGTGTTGAAGTGTCCTGGCCTGGACGGGGCACCATGTGGGCTCTGGCATGCTGGACACTGGTTCTGCAAACTAGTGGAGTTTCATCTGTGTGGCAGGCAAGGAACTAGTGCAGGAAATGACAGTTCTATGGGGTGGGGTCTTGATATTGACAGATGAGTCGAAGAAGGAGTTGAGCCTGAAGGTGCAGTTCTCAGTGTATGTCCCAGCTTCCACTATGGTTGTGAGTTTGGGTTAGGGCAAAAAGAATGAGATCAGCAGACAAAATGAGTTTCCTTCTCAGGGTGGCTGTGTTCACACTTAGTGACAGGATGAGGAGATCTGATGTCTGATGTAGAAGCATCGGCCCCTCACTTGGACTATGATAGACTGGCACTATGATCATAGTCCAATCAGGTGTAACCAGTTGTGAAAATGCATGTAATGTATATAGAGGTTCAAGCCTCTGTCTTCTTCCAGAGTACATTTGGTCCTGTTTAATACACAATGAGCACCTGCCTAATGCGGTGGACACAGGAGTCAGTTGGCACTCGTGTCATTCTGCAGCTCATTGTGCATCTTCTGTGAATCGGTTTGCTTCCATAGTTCTATTGTCAGGAAGATCACAAATGTGTTGACCGTTCAGTGAAAAACGTATGTAAAAGGAGTGAAAACTGTAAGTAATGCCTGTTTCAGACTACACGATTTATTTATCTGACACGATGGTCACTATGTCAGATTACACTATTATGGTCATAAATTGTTGGAAGAGGGATATGACAGATTACACATTGGTACTCGACAGATCACAGCCTGACATTGTTCACAACTTGGAGGTACCAGGGACTGGGAGAAGAGTGTGTGATACTGACTGCTTGTGTTCGGAGAAGCATAACAAATGCTTGGCGGTGTGGGGGGCAACGTGGACCTGTCTGTGGGTCACACGAAACCTGTGTTGTCTGTCCTTCATGGAGAACTTGAAGTAGTAGTTAAAACTAAAAACCAAAAGCTAGCTAGCCCTGATGGGGTAGCTACTTCACTGTTTGTCCTTCCTTAGATTACTGTTGGTATGTACTGACCACTGCACTCGCTCACATCCTTACACTTGCCCATTTTTCCTGCTTCCAACACATCAACTTTGAGGACTGAATGTTCCCTTGCTGCCTAATATACCCCAAAACACTGACAGGTGCCACTGTAATGAGGTGATCCGTGTTATTCACTTCACCTGTCAGTGGTCATAATGTTATTAGAATCTGCTTTATTGGCCAGGTGTTATGGCTGAGAGAGCTCAGTCATAAACACTGAGTTCTCTGGTGAGGTGGAAGAAAATGACTTTCTCAAGTTGAGGAGTATATACATAAATATATGCATACACGATATGCTTTATGTGATGAAAGGGCCCTTGCTGTGTCATTTATTTAATGTACAGTGGTAAAATTTGATTGGCTCAGCCACAACCGCTGAGCTGAGCAGCAGTGGCGCTGGTGTTGAGCTGCATTTTGAGTGACAGATTTATTATTGCTTTATTCATCACAGTTTAAGTCACAGCTCTGTGGGTCTGTCATCTGTCTGGGTGACTGAGACTCTCACCCTCTCCCGCTCCTCTCGCCAACTCCCACCTCTGTCCGTTATTCTCTGTCGTGCTGCTTGAGATTTAAGTTGTGACAATTCACTGAGAGCTAATGGGCTATTCATCTATGACGCTGTAACTTGTAGCCTCCTCTCCTTTCTGTTCCGCTTTGTCCTTTCCTTTCTTCCTCTCCCCCCCTTTTTCTCCCACTGCAGTCTTTCAACAGGAGCACTGTGTTTGCTTGCTCAGCACTTTCCCTCTCCCTCGCTTGTCCGTATACTCTAGTGACTGCAGTATTTGTGGGTGTATTCATGTGCCCTTGTGAGAGAGTCATTTGCGGGTCATGTGGAAGTTTCTCAGACCAAGCCATAAAGATGACTGCAGACAGATGAGACAGATAGCAGACTTGACAGCCAAGCCAGAAATGGTGGGACAAAATGGCACATTGATGCATCAGCTTCCCTGGCTGCTTAGACAGGTGTTTACAACATTTTTTCCCCCCAATCACCTCCTGTTAACCTGATGTTTGAGAGAAAATGTGTATTGACCAAAGAGTAAATGATAAGCTCTTGAAAAACCGTTGGCTGTCTTGTGTGTGTCTCTGCAGATGGGAAGGTGTATGCGTTTGGTGGTATGGGAGCAGACACCACGCCACAGGCCCTGGTGAGGGTTTATGAGGCAGAGAAGGATCAATGGCAGTCGATGACCTCTATGCCCACACCGCGGTATGGAGCCACGCCCTTCATGAGAGGAAACAAACTTTACTTGATGGGTAGGACATGATCTCATCTGTTTCTCTCTTTGAAATAATTCCCAAATAAATAAATCAGCAGTTTGTTGCTGTGTAGATTTGCAGATAAATATACAGCTTGAAATAATCAATAAAAATGATGTGCTACTTTGCTAAATGTTTTTACTTTAGTTTTTCTCAAAAGTAAAATTAACTTACTGTACATGCTGTATTAGTTTTGAGCCACCTCTTTGGTCCAGACCATAGACTGTATATAAAAGATGGACAGTGTGTCACCACTTTCCTCCACTGTGCAAAGGGAAGCCAAAATATTGTGAATGCAGCAGCTGCCATGTTAAGATTTTGCAACCAGATGCAGTAGTGACCAAGTAGTTGAGTGACACAGGGTTACCAACCCTCAAGGAGTGACCAGGAGATTCCCAGAATTAATTTAGGCCTCAAAATTAAATCAGGGAGATTTTTGGTGTTTTTAAAAATACAGATTGAACACACGGCAGTAAAATATTGTGATGACTATGCCAGCCAGCGGGAGGGTTAGTGACAGCGGCAAGCATTATGCGAATGTGTAAATACTTAGCGTAATATTGTGGTATAATCCTGAGTCATTGTGTTTTACGGTTCTTGTTATTGTTGTATTTTGAGGGGTTAAAAATGACTGTTGGGTTCATGCTGCGTGTGTTGGGTTGCATCGAGCATTCGATGCTCGAACCTGTTGACTGCTGTTCGATTGGAAGTGTTTCGCTGTATTATGCTTGTGTGTGTTAGTCTGTTGTTGCCGGTGACTGAGAAAATAAAGACAAGAGAGAGCTGGCTGACTGCTGTGATATGAGAACAGTGAATTACGCCACTGAAGAGCATTTCAGGGTGAGGGTGCACACTGTGCCAGTGACATAAGGGGAAGGTGTGATCCTCGAGGGATTGTTAAAGCTGTGCGGTGCACGGAGCCCAGTCGCAACAGTGTTAGCCTTATGTAGGTGCTAGCACCCCGCTAGCTAGTTAGCTGCACGGTTAGGATTCGCTCCTCTCCTCCGCGCCGGAGGTCACTACAATATCAAGTAACATACAAATTCAAACAGAAGGCAATCCCAGAGCACCAATAGAAAAACTGAAAGGTCAGAGTTGTCTGTGACTGCTGGACTTGGTAAAGTCCTGGATTATTGGCAGATAGAATTGTATCAAAGCTGTCAAGTCATCTGAAATATGCCCTTTTTTATATCGCCAAATAACTTACTACAAGCAAACATACCAGAAAAATAACCACATATTATCAAACATCAGCATGATAATATCTACCAAAAACCATAGAAATCACCTCTGGGAAAAATGTATTTGATTTGTACTTTGAGCTTTTATTTTGGCTTGTATCCCATTTGCTAACATGGAGTGGGTGGTATTTCCGACCTATACTGCAACCAGCCACCAGAGGGCGATTGAGTCATGGTGGCTTCACTTCTGAGAGCTGTCATGTTGTTCATTGTTTATACAGGCAGTGGTCTAGACTGAGAGGTCTTTATTAGATTATTTACTACAAAATTGGGCATTAACACTCATGGGTGCCAAATAACCAGACCAACTCCGATGAGTGCCACTTTAAAGTTTTTGTTTATTTAGTGTAACATCTTAACATTTACTTGATGGACTAGTGTCACGTTTTGAAAAGCATCAACATTATCTTCAACCACAGCACAAACTACAGCCTCCCTGGAACTTTAAATTAGCCTGCAGTAGTTTTAGCTTGGTGTAATGAATATACTGCCAACTGAGCGTACAGGTGTCTCTTCTTTCTTACAAATGAGCCACAGTCTCTCTGACATCACCTGAGAGTTCAGTTTAGCAACTGTGTGGAGTGAGCAGGACCATGTCTTGTCTCTTTCTCAAGGACTTCAACAGCTGGTGACAATATATTTGAAGAGCCTTAGACCTTAGGCTTCGGTAAGTGGGAACATGTTGAACTTCTGCGCTAATTCACACTCAAGGCTTATATAGAGTAGATAAAAAGAAACAGGATGTTTTGTGCTCTTCAGTCTCAGACATTTGTAGTATTTTTCTGCTTTACTTTGTTTTTCTTTTCCCACATGCATCCATTGAACCACGAGTCTAGGGAGGTGTGAGTGTTGTACTGTTTTAACCATCAGCCTTTTAGCTGTGACTTTATCTGCCTGGCAGTTTTAGAGCTGTGATAGGAACTGATGGGAAGACAAAAATGTGTCTCTCAGGTCTGAGGAGTCTCACAATCTTGGTACAATATTGATCACAAGCACAGAGCTGGAGTTAAAGATGGCTCTGCAGGAAAGAAAAAAGGAAATGTCTGTTCAGTGCAGAGTCTGTGTTTTGTTATTTCACTGAGAGCACTATTGTCATCCAGTTATGTACCATCTGTGATCAGAGGTTACATTTGTCCTTGCTGTCTTTTTGGGGACCTGTTATCACTCATTGACACTTTGTCAAAATTTCACACCACTATTGGGACAGAAATTGAAAGGCAGGCTACGACTGTTTTTGTGCACCGAAGAAGTATTTTACAAAGAGATGACTCCGTTTCACTACAAGCAACAACACAGTCCACATTCTGCATAATGTAGCTATAAGCGGCAGCTTTGGTCATTTTCATATCAGTGTTATTTTTTTCCTCTCGCACACTCCACCGGCCGAATTTAATGACTCTTTGTGACACAAGCACAAGGAAAACACATATTCATCAATATGACAACACAGTTTGCATTTAGAAATCCTGAAAACACAGGAGGTATGGCAGAATTAACTTCTATAATATAATAAAATTTGTTATTTACCTGTAATTTTATACAGTTTGAATACTAAAATGCTGAATCACACAGATTTCTCCATGTTTACCAGCATAAACAGACATAAACACATTTACAAAATATGTATCTTATGTGCCTCTAAAACAGTTTTTAGAAGTTATACCTGTTTATAATTGTTTGTTCCTGTTTTCATAGTTTGCTGCTCTTGATTGGACATCACTGCTGTATAGATGTTTCCTACCAACCAATTTACACATTACTAATGTCTTTACTAGCTAAGACATCTTCTTAAGGTTTAACGGCAAAACCCGATCACCACCCTGAAACTAGCTATCAGTTTCTAAAATCCTCCTTCAATCAACCATATGGTGTCTTTCCATCAGCAGGGGTCGGCCCTGCCAGGCTGAGGCATGCACAACAGAGCTGTGCTGAGCTGCTCCCGAGTAAGCATGGTTGTGTTTCCGCTGTATCATAAAACATGTTGTTTATCGTCCTCATCTTGACCACCTGGGGGTGACACATAACTCATGTGGTGCTGCTAGCTTGCGACATGGAGTCCTTAGTGCTAGGCATTATTTTAACCCCTCACCAGAAGACCAAGTGAGAGACTCTGTTTTCAGATCTTGCTGCAATTAAGTAAGGATAAAAATTGAATGCTGTGAAATGTGTAAGGACTTTCCCTTGGCACAACATTTCAGCCAATCGTGTGTCTTGATGAGCTGGCTCTGTCTGGCTCAGCTTGAGTAAAGCAGACTCAGCCATGCTGATATAAAAACACCAATAGTGGTGACATTTATGAATAATTCATGCAATTTAACCTAGAAAGTTACCGTGCCTTGTCAAGGAATAGTCTTGGCACATAGCCAACTGTTCCACATATGGAAAAAGGTCCCGCACGCTGACAAAACAGCAAGGAAGCTCTTCAAATGGGAGTAAAGTGATACTGTGAAATTATGTGAATAAAAATGTGAACATTGTTGTGTTATGGGCTGGCATTTAAAGAACCTTTGCCATTTTGTCAGTGTATGGGCATGTTTTTCTTACGACATGTTGTTTTTGGCTGTACTTGACATCATCCTTTGAAAGGCCTGGATTTAGTGCAAATGCTGCAGCAGTTTTTGACACAGTCTACTGTAAAATGGCAAATTATTGTTTGTAAGCTTATGTTTCTTTATATATTTAAAAACAAGATAAACACTACCATGCTGGGAGGTGGATTTTGTCACATTTGGAGCAAGGCTAATGGTTCCCCTGTTCGAGGTTACTGTGCTATGCTCAGTACACAGCTAAACATTTGCAGATTTGATTTACAGTATAATCAGGCTTCTCCACTGTGAATCAAAATCTCCTGGACTATGACACTGCAATTAAAATAATCACACTGTCTGTTGTATCTGTAGTTCAGGGCATGGCATGGCCTCGGTTTTGCTGCTGGCAGCACGGCCAGAAGAGGAGGTGGTTACTCTGAATCACTGTGCACTACAGCTCAGACTTGTGTCCTGGACAGCACTGTGTGTGGAAGTTAGTGGAAGAGCAGATAGACATCTTCTCCTAAACTCACACAATCATTTAAATAATAGATAAATGTGATGCAGTCAAAAAAAGAGTCTGCCCTCCAAACAAAACATCCATAACTGCTCTGCAGGTCAGTACAGGCTAATTCATCTTTGGTGGCTTGAGCTAATGATGCCTGGCAAATGCAAGGGACAGAGAAGGATGGCTAGTCCAAAGTGAACTCACATTCTCCAAAGTGAACTCACACACACACACACACACACACACACACACACACACACACACACACACACACACACACACACACTGAGGGAGACTAAATGTGTGACTCTCATTACACACAGAGTTCTGAGTGATGAGCAAACAGAATAATGTGATATACATGGTTTGTTTTAAAATGAGAAAACCAGCTCGTTATCTCTCAGTCATGCAGTATGAATATAATCCCTGCCCGCTTGCTGTACTTAAAAGATTCCTTGTAAATTTGTGTTTCTTCTTCAGCTGCTTCTCTACTCGTTGGGGTCAGTAGGTGCCCGAGACCCCTTTGATTTAAATTCTGTGTTCCCAGTCAACAGCGAATTCACTGGCAAATGACGTAACTTATCAGGCTTCATACTGCTTTAAAATCTGTGTGTACGCATGCATGCAAACAATTAGGGTTGCTAATCAGCACACAAGTGCAACTGAAAGGCGGTAAATCAGAATGGATATTAGTGTTTCCACTAGCCGGCATTTTGTACCTTTATCAGCAAAGACAACTTCATATACAGTAGGAACATATTATATTATTGCAACAACAACCACTGAGGACTGTAGGACACAAATCATTACACAGCATTTGGCAGTTTTCTTGTGCATTCTGGGAGGGATCCAAGAAGTGGCTGCTGTAGCTTGAGCCAAAGTGGGAAAAGCATACAACAGAAAAGTGTAAGCATGAGGATTCAGCTAATGATGACTGATGAGAATTCAGTTAGTTTTTCAGGTATAAGCTAATGTATCTAGTAGCTGATGACGATACTCAGCCAGAAGCCAGTAGAATTTATCATTAAGGAACCAACCATTAAGGTTTGCACAAAATTTTGTGTCCATCTTTTGATTAGAGAAGTAAAAAAACCTGAGAATGGCACTAAAGTCGTGCCATACGACATGACATACTGTTGGATTTTTAGTTTATAAGCTTTATTACAAATGTACGACTTTGAATGAGGGTTCAAGTTTGACTTCAGTTCACTGTGGTGAAGGAGCACCGTTCCTTTAGCTGTGGGATACTGCAGTAACACTCAAACTGGACGTGAACTGTCGAGCCTTAGCGAAAATCATACACAGTATATTCTTCTGTAATCAACAGATCTTTCAGTTGGAACGTTTCTGCTTTTCTCTCACACCTCTCTGACTCTGAAGCTTCCCACTCAGTTCGACTCTGTCTCGCTGTTGCTATCGATCTCCATGCCACCCTGCCTACGTTGTTTGACCCTCTTCCACTTTCTTCTCACTCCTCCACATTCTCCTCTCCTCCCTCTATTGCTTTTGCACAGTTTCTTTGTCATTGCCTTGTTTTTTGTCTTCGTCCATTTCTTGGTTTCTGTAGTATGCTCTTGATATTGTCACACTCCTTCTAGTTCTCCCCCACCTCCCTCACGTGACTTCCCTCTTTGCCCTTATGTTTTTACCGTCGCCACCATTCTTACATTCTCACCATTCACTGCCCTCAACCTCTCCCCCCTTTTTCCATCATTCACACTCTTACTGCCTGCTATACTGTATGCTCTCTCTCTCATCACTTTGCCTTCCCCTTAAAGTTGTATTTTACAAAGTTAGGTTATGATTTGCGGAAGGAAACAACTAGTTGGCGTCCTAGAGGAGCACCCTGCTGCTGTGCTTCGCTTTCAGTCCAAAGTGAAATGTGGTCCCAGAGCTGGTCTGTGCGCTTGACAGATTTCAATGTGCCAGGGAAACTCTGTGAGAGGAACAGGGGATTGAAAGCAATGAAAAGAAACAGGAAATGTAAAACAAGGACAAACGATGTCACACAGAAATTTTGTCTGTGTATATGCTTTATTCATGTACTGATATTCCTAGAAATGTATTTTGTTTAGGAACTGGTGCATGCAGATCCCTTCTTCTGGGATCAACTAACATGTTAACTTACATCTTTTCTGCAGCAGTGGAAGGAAATGAAGCTTTAAAAACTGATGCAAACAGTTCCTACAGGTGTCCCAGCTTTTGATGACTTACAACAGCAGATTCTCTGTACAAAGGAAGAATTGGAACTACACCCTCGGAAGCATTTTTCAGGAAAGGCAGTTAGCAAAGAAAGCCAGACTTTTTCAGAATAATGAACCAAAAACACCTCCAGGCTGTGCAGGAGAAAAGAACAAGAGGGTTGGCTTCAAATGATGGAATGGCTGCACAGTGTCCAGACTTTGCAGATGAAGAGCGAAAGCAAAGCACCCTAGAGATGGAACACATCTGTGGGAACATCTGCAAAACAGTGCCGTCTGTTTCAGTTGCAGAAAGACTGACACGTGTTTGTGTGTTGGCTCACACAAATAACAACTGAAAAAATGAAGGCATTTTAATATTTTTGACTGGTACTGTATAAGCTCTGTGAACATAATATCACCATTAATATGTCTGGAAATGTAAACTTTGTCCTGCCTTCTCCAGCTGGTCGTCAGGGAAAGATGCCGGTGACGGCGCTGGAGGCTTTTGACCTGGAGATGAAGAGCTGGACACGCTACCCATGTATCCCGAGCCGGAGGGCCTTTTCCTGCTGTGCCATGAATGACCGAAGCCTCTTCAGCTTGGGGGGTCTCCAGCAACCAGGGCCACATAATTTCTACTCCAGACCTCACTTTGTCAGCACCATGGAGGAGTACGATCTTGATCAAGGTAAGCGGTGAGCTAACTATATAGTAAATGGTAAAATCATGACCTTTAAGACAGGACTGCCGCGCGTTTTGCTGGGACTAATGAGGACTTTTACTTTTAGTACTTTAAGTATGTTTTGATATCAATACTTTTGTATTTTTACTTTTAAGTAACATTTAGAATGCAGGACTTTTACTTATAACGGAGTATTTTTACACTGTAGTATTGCTACTTTTACTATTAAAGGATCCGAGTATTTCTTCTACCACTGGTTCTAAATGTTCCTTGTAACTGAGGTAACTGATTACTGAGAGAAGTCCAGCAGTCCCCGGTGAGCACAGCCGTGTTTGTCTGTCCCAATGCCTTGTCCACTCTAGCTTCTCGTCTTCATACAAGTTGTGTATCTTGGTTACAGCGGTGGCTCTTGAAGGTGATTCATACGTGCAGTCTCTGGATGCACTGCGAATTACTTCAAGCAGACCCTCGCCCTCTACAATGTTAATCGACCCACAAGCTGTAGCCACCCATTTAGAACCAGCTGTATTGGCCAGGTTTGTTGGACACATGAGGAATTCAGTACAGTGGCTCTTCGTGTGCATGTACAATGTTCTTCTGTAAGGCAACCAGTAAATGAGTAAACAAGATAAGGCTGAGAAAACAAAAGAAAACGTGTAAACAAGAAAAAGGACTGTGCATTAGGAAAATATAAATAAAGTACCTATAAATATAGAAATTTATATACACACACTTTAGATGCAGTTCAGATATATTTCAGATATATACAAAGGTATATTTACAGGTATTGCGCTGAGGGTGGTTGTTCTGTTATACAGTCATGGGTTAAGTGTGATGGCCTGGGGGGAAGAAACTGTCCTTGTGCCTGGTTGTCATGGCATACAGTGACTTGTAGCGCCGTCCAGAGGGGAGGAGTTCAAATTGTTAGTGACCAGGATGTGAGGGGTCTGCAGAAATCTTCACTGAACATAATATGAGATGGCAGAGATATAAGATTTTTTTTCGACACATTGGAAGAACAGCAAGAGAGCAGCTGCCTCGTATGCAGCCCAGAATATCTGTCAGCCTGGTGTCTTGGTGTTTATAGTGTATATTATGTACGTACCCTGGAGCACTTTGAATGGAGTGAGAACACGATCTGTTCTCTGCTGATAACAAACCCAAACATGGGAAGACTGTGCTTTAGTTAAGTCAAATCATAGTAAAGCTGATGCTGCTACTGATAGAGGAGGTCCTTTTGCACGATAGTTCTACGATTTATGGCTCACATGAAATAAGTGCTGCAGATAATGAACAAATGCATTTATGCAATGTGGTTAATAACTTGTCTGCTGATTTAAATGAAGCAAACACCTCAGTAGTGTAAAATGTTAGTTGCTGCAAATCTGTGACTAATTTTTAAACTGTACGCAATATTTATTTTTTCCTTTAATGCTACTGTACATTTTGCTGCACTATGAAGGAGTAGCACCCAAAACAAACTCGCTGCCCTAAGAACAAGATGGTTTGAGCTATGATATATTTTAATTAGCCTAAGTAGGTTTTCATGGTCAGAAAATCATATTATGAGGGTCAATCTATCATGGGAATGTTGCATTTTGGTGTAATGGCATTACAGACAGTGAGCTGCCTTGACAGAGGTTTGAGCTCTATCCTCCTGACTTAGATTTTCCTCATTTAGTCTGTCCAGATTGAGACTCTGCAAATAAAGCGTTTGCCATTTGGTTTTTGGTTGGGTGCCACATTTTTGTGGCACGGATTGCAGTGACTCCTCATTGTGCCGGTAGAACCCTGGAAAGAGAGCTGTAGCTTCATCCTGCACAATGAGCACTCAGCTTTGTTGTTCAAATTAGTAAAATAATTCTACATCTTTTTTTTTTTTTTTTTTTTTTTTTTTTTTTTTACCTCTTTGA